CTTCCGTAAATACGGACATGCTGGTCGCCTGGGGGAAACACCTTACTGCCTTAACACTCCTGTCGCAGAGACCGCCCCGTACCAGGATTGCTCGTAGTGCGGGGTCTCGCTGCTCCCCTTTGGCCTTCCTGGCATGGTTGTACCTTGTGGAACGAAGTTCCAGCCAGTATAGCCCGCGGGATCATTGCAGCACTGAAGCCCGACCACCACGTCAAGGTGGCAGCTTTAGGTCGGGCTTAAATGAGTCATGCAATATTTACCGGAAATAATGAAACAATCATCTGCAAGGGAAATGTGGCGCTGTGAAGCACAAAGCCTAAACGGCAACGTTTACTGTAGTAAGCGCCAATAAACCCACACTATAGAGAAATGGGTAAACTTAGCTTATCCCGAACAAATTTTTGCCATCCAAAAGTAAGACAAAACGGCAAACTTGCGTCCACTCTGATGAAAGCAAGGTGTGATACAGGAGAATGCACATGGTTACACAATTATAATCAGACTAGCTAGGGCTCAGAGCCGTTGTTTAAAAGAGCGAAATGATGGAAAAATTGAACGACTGAACCGGCGAAATTCCGTGCGCTACGCTGAATAAGCACGTGGTTTACATCAAATACGAACACCGGAGACTAGAATTAATCATTCCTAACCCGTTTTCATACACCGGCGTCTGATTCCTCTTACTTGAACCTGGTGGCAATGGTTTGCTAGGTCGTAAGACCGCAAACTACCGAAGAGTTGTTCACTTAATTTGCCGGGCATCCAATGTGTCGAAAGGATACAGTTCGATGAGGGCTGGTAGCGGTCTAAACCGGACGACCCATACGCATTTCTGAGAAAAATAACGGCACTTTCTACAGGAAACCATGGATCAAGAGAGAGCGGGAGATATGACCCTCATCGGTTTGAAATAGTGATAAGGGACGACAAGCGTTTGTTTCGAGGAGTGTATACAAGACCAGGATAGAGTGGAGCATAGCAATAGTTATGGCGCATAACCAATCAATTGTAAATAGTTTGGGACTGTTAGAGAAGTCACGTTTCTGAAGATCTCATAAACAATCGGTGGATTCATTCCTGGGCGATGCTTCGATTTTGACACAATAGCTTCGTCATTATCCAAGCATCGGATCTCTGATAAGACCGTGTCTTTGCTGGAGACCCGGCGACATATTCCGCCTGACGGCCACTACAACTCAACCTGGCGCATCATCCGACGCCAGGTGAAACTGAGTGTCTGCGCAGATGGAGATTGGTGGATCCGAAAGTCCGAAGAAATGGAAGATGCAAAGAATGCTGGAAATGCGCGCAAACTGTTCCACTTAATTCGTCCGACTGGTCTTCGGAAATCTCTTGTCATCGAAATAATCAGAGCTAAAATGGTTCCCTGATATGCAGCAAAGCAGAACGTTTGGACCGCTAGACAGAGTACTTCGAACAGGAATTCAGCTCCAATCCAGAAACCTGGCCTTTAATAGAAAGGTGCACTTTAAATAGGGAGCCACCTTCAGTCTCAGAATAGTCCGAATGCATTTCTGTACTCAAGCGTCGTCTTGCTGCTGGTTCTGACGACTTTCCACATGCTCTGTTCGAGGATGGCGGTGGATTCCTCAACCAGTGCCTGTTTAGTTTATTTGGGTCTGTCTGGGAGGAGACAGTCCCAGACAATTGGGGTGAATAGATAGTGGTGCCCATTTTCAAAAAGGGTACTCGCAGTGAATGTAGTAACCACAGAGGTGTTAGTTTGACGCCTGTTGTGACAAGGCTTCTGGCGTCACTGATTCTTCGTCGTCTTACGGTGACTCGTGAAGCCTTGACTTGTGAGAATCAAGCGGGATTTCGACCGGGTAGAGGCTGCGTTGACCACGTCTTCACACTCCGTCAGGTGTCAGAGCAACGCCACATGCACAGATGACCCACAATCCTGGTATTTCTCGATTTCAGGGGTGCGTTCGATTTTGTCGATCGGTCAGTGCTGTTAATTATACTTGCCGAACGGGGTAGGCCCAGAAGTTTGTGGAAATGTTCCGATCCCTATATTCGCATACCTCTGGGCGGGTGAATGTATTATGGACTATACAAAAGGTGGTGTCAGACAAGGATTTCCATTCTTGTTCAACTTCATCATCGATGGGGGCGAGATGGCTCAAGTGGTTAGAGCGCGAATTTACTGACCGGAAGGTCCGTGGTTCGAACCCGACCTCCGCCACTCGACTTCCCCTGTCTAGGCTTGGGCAACCTGACAGTATCCCAGCCCTCGTGCTCCCTTCGGGTGGCATGGCAGCTAGGCACCGAAAGGGCGCTACAGCTGAACGATTTTATTTTATTTTTATTTCATCATCGATGAAATAACGAGGCGAAGACTGAACGGTCTTCTAAGCCCCGGCGTAGCTGGTGAGAGCCTTGTCGATCTGGCGTGCATAGATGACATCGCCCTCATCTTTCAAAACCAAAGCGAGCACAAGCCCTGTTGAATAGGCTGACCACCATCATACCATCTTTTGGCGTGCCGTCACGAAGAGACTGGACCTTACCGTGGTGTGACGGTTTGCGCACCTCAGCGATCCATTGAGCTATACTGGAGAGTGTCCGCGACACTCACAGAGTCTCTCATACCAGGTTGGTCAATGGTTAGAGGTCTGACGAACACAGTCTCCTGGCCCTCCA